TTAACCGCAAGGAAAAAGTAAGGACATGCGGACAGAAGCAACACGTGAAAAGTAAAGAGATAGGACCTGCTGGTAGTCACAGCGCCTTCCAACCATCCAGACTTGGACTAAGTGACTAAGGAGAATTTGATCAATACATACCTCTCTTTGTTCAGTAGCGCAGTGACCAGCGAATGAAGTAATAGATAAGAGTCAAGAGGTGGTTACAAGGAGGTCCCACAGAGTAAGGGCAGTTAAAAAGAGAAGATCTACCAAGGGTTTAAGGGATCTTTGTATCGTAGAAGGCTTACATCAGCACATTTAAGATTATTTAGGACGTGGACTGTTTCCAATCTGCCTTTCGGGGCCAACTTCGGCTGAGTGGAAGAGTGAAATAGATGGAGATGCCTGATAAAAACTTCCCCACACAAGAACTGAACTTAGCAGTCTGTGTGCATTGGCGAGGAGCCTAACCATTATACCATACTAGCTGGATTGAGAGAGAAGATCTCCACTGATCAGTGCAAGACTTTTGTCAGGCGTCACTTTTTAAAATAGTGTATGGCGGGGTCTTACATGAAGTAGCTGATCTGCTTACTTTTGTAGAACTGATTATACTCATATTTCATGCTTAACGTCTCTGTTTGTCATTTTTTCTAAAGGTTTTACTTAACAACTGACAACGCCTTAACACGGATTATGACACAGTCGTCATCTTTTCATTTTTATTTCATTTTCTCCCCCATTTTCTTGTTTGAAATACAAGACCCCAGAAATAGAAAGAGAATAGTGTCGGAAGCATATTTGTCGATAGTGAGTAGTGAAAAAGTAAGAACAAAAGAGAAATTTAGAAAGATAGGGAAATGAATCAATGCGAAACCATAGTGGCCTTTATCTACCAACATCGTGTTTCCAGAACAGGTAGAACCAAGAACGATTATGATAAGAGGGTGTAACAACAATGACAGTAGGGTTTGGCACATACCTGTATAATGACAATAATACACACAAAAAATTCCAGCTAATGCTTCAAGGGGGCTATCACATCAGATATATACATAAATAATATTGATATAAATATAATTTTGGGGTCACAAAAATATTATAATAAGGGGACATGATCATTGCAATCTTTTAACATTGGCCTGTAAGAATACATGTTTGACCAAAAATATTGGCACAAAAAAGAAAAAGGGAAAGCCTATCTGCCCACACATTTCATTTATAATTTGACTGTGCATCATAATAATATACATGCATATGTGGGCATACATATTATATATATACATGTCTGCAAACTTCCCCTAACCTTTAAGGTATAAGTGTTAGATCTGAAGTACTAGTGTCATGTGATCATTTTCTCATTCTGTTATTAAACCCTGGTACAACTTTTAAAATGAAATTCATAAAACTGATGGTGAAATGGAAGAAAGAAATAGAAAAGCAAAGGATACGGGAAGGTCAGAGAATGGGGAATATACATTCTGTATGGCTGTGATCAATTGTTCTGGATGATAAAACACATAAATTCAAATACATGCATCCATTTTTTTTTTCAAATAGTGAATTAGCTACGATTGCAACTTTTCAATAGCACCCTTATATTTCAACTATCTCCAGATAAAGTGGAATTTAAACTGTGTAATAATAATTAAAACAGTTCGTCCGAGAATCTCTGATGATGACCAATGTATCTGCAGACGAGAATGTTTCATAAAGAGAAAAAAGAGGCAGAAGGATTAAGATGATCTGTGGCTTCTGTTATGACCAGTGAAACCATTTCTGGAAGAGAAGATTTTGTTACATTTTGAGCCTTTAAAAGTTTCATTTCCACTTGTGAAGGTGCACAACTAGTATTGAGAGACTGCTTCATATGATAAACTAAACCAAGACAAAGCAAAGCTCAGAGAAAGATAAGTAAAATATGACTTTCAAAAAAAGAAGAAAAAAAATGAATTAAAAAATTCCTCAAAGCACACAAAAATTGAGTTTTCTTTGGATAAAATGGGAAAGACACAGTGGGGAACAATGGACATAGAAGTTGAAAAAATTTTAATTGCAGAATAGAGAAAGACAGAAGAAAGACTCGACAGATGAAACTGCAAGTGGATATGAGTAGAGATCTTGTTTTATATCTGTCAATCCTATATATAGGAGACACTGGGACCTTAAAATGATCACAATCTGTTCATGACAATGCTGTTTCATGGGCACGGGGAAGTAAAAATACGTGAAACTCGAGGTACTGTTTCTCTGTTCTCTGTTCCTTTTATGTAAGTGTTTTTATGCCCCACTGACACAATTTAGATCAGTTAGGAGGCAGAGCCTGCCTGTCAGGGCCACCCCAGTCTGAGAGGGTTACAATATTCTAGCAGAATGACATAGAGACTAAAAAAATTCTCCTTATTCTGGAATCCAACTCGGGTCTCCTACGTGCGACGGCAAACTACCCACCCACCTCCAACACAGACCTCAATTTGACCTCTCTGTGATTTTGAAAAAAACCTACAGTACCGTGAAAAGAAATGGGCTATTAGATTACCCAAAAACAAGGGAAAATGGTTCTGAAAAGTAAGCAAAGATGTAACGCTTATGAGATGGATCCAGCATGTTAGACAGCTTCCAAATGCAAAATATTCTGTCATTTATGATTTTGAAAGAAAAAGCAAATAAATTTGGATGCTTAGCCAGTTTAAAGATAAGAAAGCTTTTAAACATGGTTCTGGGGAAATGCAGATACATCACTCTGTTGCTACTAACATTGATGATGGTATTGAGATTAGACTCTCATAGTTTTACTACTTTGAAAACTACTTTTTCTAAAGTCGATACATTGCCCTGCCTTTGAAAAAAAAAAAGATAAGGGCAAGACAGTGTTACAAATCATAAATAAAAAAATGTAGGTGTTTTACGCCCCCCATCAACACTATTTTAGATCATTTAGGAGGAAGGCTTCAAGCCTGCCTGTCAGGGCTAACCCAGGATGAAAGGGATGAAACAGCCAAGCAGAAAGACAGAGACACTTGATAAAAAAAATTTTCTCCCTTCAGGAATCAAACTCAGGGTCTCCTGTGTGCTATGGCAAAGCACCTACTCACTATACCACAGATGCTGGTATGTAACAAATCAATAAAACTAAAAAAAACTATTTTTGTAAGAATATAATATGTCACTATGCCTTGGGGCGGCAGAATTGCTCGAACAGTTCTGAAACTAAAAGTACTTAAATAATTGTGTCAAAGTCTTGTAAACCACATTAAGTCATATAGGGCAAAGATTGAGAGAGAGAGAGAGAGAGACAAAGACAACTCCAAGACTGTAAAAAAAAAATCTCCTCCACACATAATGTAAAAAAAAAAAAATACACTACCCACAATTAAATCATGATGGGCACAGACATTTACAGGTATGTATATATTAAAACACACTACAGGCCTTCTTCTTTCCAGACACAGAGTCATTCAAATAACTCAAGTACATTGGAGAGTACACTCCCTCCCTACACTTCGCCCCCCCCCCACCTCCCCATCCTGATATTCAAACAAAACTCAAAATATACTGTACACTATACACGTATTTGGCACATGAAATAATAATACAAAAACTTTAATTTGATCAAATAAATAAAAATTCAGGCCCTGTGTTCCTTATGCCTCACAATGTGTGCTAGTCCGTCAGACTCTTATTTATTCTCCTCCACAAGGAATTAACTATTGTCAATGTTGCTAGAGTTTTACGGCACTTGCAATACAAAAAAGTCACACAAGTGCCAAAGATTAGAGGTGTTACTAGAGAGTAACATACAAAGAAAAGGAGGGGAAAAAAGGACAATGGATGTTTAATACGAAAGAAGGGGCACACCACACCAGAGCACCCTTCAACCACCCACCAACATCTACTGATCTGTTGTGTCTTAAACCTGAAGAGGGTTGAGAATATAAAAAAACTGTTTGTTGCCCCATCAACAGGGGAAGAAACTCCATCGCTGGTGGGCGTGCCACTTGCTTATCTTCACTTTATAAATCCCAGTAACTTTAAAAAATATCTTTTGTCAAGAGATCTCTTTTGCACCAGTTGGTTGATTGAGGACCAGTTTTGGCACCAAAAAAAACTTATCTTCTGTAAACCTTCACAGTGGAGATAGGAGACAAATTTGTGCCCAGTAGGGTACAAAATGCTAACAATACATCCTCTAAAAAAACAAAATGAAACGTATGCCTGTTATTTTTACGGGGCAGGGCAAAACAAGCAGATTTACTGTGACAGAGGTTTGAGATTTTGCTGAGTTAAAAAAAAAAAAGTTCAGGGAAGCAACATAAAAAACAAAGAAATAAAAGATTATTTGCTCAGATCGACACTACCAAGGACGAGGATAAACACACTCAAAAAGAACAGTCTGTACCCCAAACGTCCACCTAAACCCAGCTCATAACATCCATCAGAATCCTAGTCTGGTACAATGGAGATGACAAACCAATGTAAAACAGTATCTTAACAATGATACCGTAGTTTAGAGAGACGATTTTTTAAAATGTAAGTATTTTACACCCACAATGACAAAGTTTAGATCCTTTAGGAGGTGAGCTTTGATCTTGTCTGTCAGAGCCAACCCTGGCTGTGATGGAAACAATATCCTAGCAGAAAGACCAGGATACTTGATAAAAATTCTCCCCACTCAGGAATCGAGCTTAGATCTCTTGCATGCAATGTTGAAGCCCCTAACTGCTACACCACAGACGCCAGTCAGCGACAGCTAGTGCCTCTGTAACTGAATTATTAATGATTTGGTACCGGGGAACCCATACCCGAGCCAGCGGGTACATCTTTGAAATAATAATAATCATAATAACAAATTGCATTAAATAGCAGACATGTGCTATATAACAAAAGGTTCTATGCGCTTTACAATACATCATTGCCCCATTAAACCCTACAACACACTGAAACATTCTCAGCTTCCTGGTAAACATTCAAAACGTAAAAGCTAAAGTCCACTATCAAGCCATGGAAAATCCACAGTCTATGAGTAGAGTACAAAGAGTGATGAGCTATTTTTACTAAATACACACACACTTGTAACCATACACATACACACATTATATTCCAATAGACAATGACAGTCACTAACTGAAAAAAAATAATTTTGAGATTCAGGACAAACATTTGTCGACAGCATAGTGTCATATGTACCTAGAAGCTTCATATTAGAAACAAGATATAAGAAGAAAGGGTAAAGGGTGAGAGCAGTACAGAACGAGGTAAAAAATGGAATGAAGTGAGAAGTTCCATGTACAAAAACAAAAAAAGCGAAAAGGAGCACGTCATCTCATGTTTGAGTTAACACAAGTACATTGACACAATGGGAAAGCTATGAAAGAGGAAGCAACTAGAGAGGAATAAGGACTATTGCTATGACTTGATGGGCATTTTCCAACCACCCGCCCTTTCGCACACGACCATCATTGTCATGCAAACCTGACTGTTCACTTAAATGGCACAAGAAACGATGGTGATACACTGACTGTGCAACAATGCTGTGCCAGAGATTAAGTACAAAATGTTCACACGACCAAAGTCACAAGTAAAAGCAATCATAGCAGAGCCATGTTTTCGACCACACATTCCACAAACAAATGTAATAACACAAGAGCCAAGCATTCAATGCACACTTGAAAAACAAAAGCAATCAAAATAGTAATACATCACTCAAAACTCATCTGATGAACAGAAACAGTCATAAAAATGTTATGCTCTTCATTAACACATGCAGGAGAGAGTATTATGTACATTTGTACATACAATCACACAAGGGAAAAAGACTGACTTGCACACATGCCCACACACATGCAAGTTCCTTAAAATTCGGAAACAGACCGTTGGCAAGAAACATAACATGCAAAAATGTACACTGCAAATACTTCCTCTGTCACTTTTCAGACCAATCAGGACTCAATTTCCATAGAGGAAAGAATATATTTTCCCTAGCTTATCCAGGTTGGACTATAAAAGTAATAAAGGTAATAATAAGCTACATTATATGTACAATTTTTAAAAAAATGAACAAAAGTACATTTTTAATGAGTGACAAAAGTGGCAAATAAAAAAAAAATCTGAAGGCAAGATGAGAGGTGTTTGTCATATATTAATATTTGGTTTATACAAACAGTCAAACCTGCTTTAACGGCCACCTGTCCAAGACAATCACCAGTAGAAAGAACCGCTTCTCATATTCCCCCAAATTACATTGCTTTTATATTATATTGACAACGTCCAAGACATCCACCCATTAAAGATAACCACTGGTCTCCTTGACTATGGGTCGCTGTCTAGGACAATTTCGACTGTTATTTGTTCTATGCTTTATATTAAAATCTACACAAACAAATTTATTCAAACCATTAAAATCAAAATTGTGCTATCTATATCACAGAAAAAGAGAAAATAATGCAGCAACAGAAGTCTAACTCAATTATCAAAATTTTAATTACATCAAAGAGACAAAGACAGTGACAAAAGAAAATACTGAACAAATCTTTTTGTTGGAATGCTGCCAAGAGATCAGCAAAGTTTAGCCCACAGAGGAAACAAAACAGTTTTAGGTTTTTAGTTTTAGAAAAAGTTTTACGTCACTTCAACACAAATAGGTCATATTAACTAGGAAGGTGAATATAAGAAAGGAGGAGCAAACTATACCATACCATAGCACTTGTTAACACCTCACGGAATCAAAATAGAATGCCAACACAACAGAATATAACAGGTAAGTTTTTGTTCATTGAGTAGACTCCAGACTGATGTACGCAGTCAGATTATCCAACATCTAATGAACTTATAACCTCAAAGGACTCTTCATGGGAGGGAAGGGAAAGACGAAGAAGGGGGTAAGGGCAGTCAGTTCACTGAAAGGCGATCCTAAGTTATATTTCAGCGAAACAGAAGACAGTACATCACTTGGTTTCTGACCCTTATTTCAAAAGATTTTTTTAAAAAGGAAAAAAAATCAAAATAAGATTTTAAAACAAAAAGAAAACAAAGAAATACTAATCAACTACTCTGTTCCAGTAACAACAGCAACAAAACAAGCCACACAAACAAAGTAAATGATCTAGAAACACAACTTGGAGGTGTAGGCGATGGGCTTCCGTTATTTTTCATTGATCTGCTCCAGAGGTGTGCAACGTTTGTCATTGGCGGGCCACATTCAAACACGGGAACAACAAAAGGGGTAGTCATCTTTAAACAAGTGTAATTAAAACCCCCCAATACAAATAGTATATTGAGTTATAAATATGAAAATGTCTAGCAAGGGTCACACTGACAGGACTGGTGGGCTGGGTTATGTGGCATATGGGACACCTGTTGCATACCCCTGCTCTAATCCTATTATGTTGAGTAAATAACGGACAGTAGAATGTGAGGGTGCCTACATCAGACATAGGGAATACTATTTAGAGTCAGTCACTAGTCACTATTTTCTAAACCAATAACAAATGAGGATATTATTATGACCTTATATTACAATCTCCAGCTTATACTGGATATGAAGCTCTGGAGTAACGTGGCATGCGAGGAAATGAATAGGCACCAGATCAACATTGCATATATAACAGATTACACTCCACATTTCAGGTTAGTTTAATCAAACATAAAAAGCTTAGGATAACATCAAAACTGTTTTTAAATGGGGAATAACAGGATGATTTTCAGCTGTGGTTTTATGTGTTATTTATACACTATATAATATATATCAAAACCAAACGGTTCAAGAGAAAACATTTAATTTGAAAGAGAGAACAGAATTAATAATGAACAGCCTAACTGATCAAACACGATCTCATGCAAGTACATACACACACGCACACACACACACACTCACAAAGCACAGACCCTTATATAAACTTGTGCATACATGTTATGTGTTCCAAAGAATTTCCAGAGCACATGTATGTTCATGAGTATGTGTATTTGTTTGCACAACAGCATAGATGTATATGTGTATGTGTGAACACAAGGGAACAAGTTCAGGAGTGTGTAAGTACGCAAAAATCTAAACTAAAAGTGAACCTGTGCAAATATAGGCTATACAATGTCACTACAGGCAAAAGGGTTTTACATCCTAACAGCACATTTTCTTCTCTGTACAAATATTCACAATCCACCAGAGACCACAACACAAACGTTCACAAGCAGAACAGCTCAGTTTCTTCCATTTAACAAAGATTTAGCACACTTAAATACATTTTCCACAATCAGCAGAACAACCATGGATAAGTCACATTAAAAAAAATCTGTTTCCAAGCACCATAGAAGTAGCAGGACAAAGGCAGGAGGACGTCTACATCTGTAGACATTGACATTCAGGGACTTGGGTGGGGCAAGGATGAAGACTGTTGTATTATAAATCCACATCACCATAGCAACCAACATCAGCCCTCTGTCATCTTGATAACTCGTTGACATGTACCGCCAAAAACAGCATCTCAAAGACAATATCCATCACTAATCTTTCCAAACAACCGTCATTGATTTACATCATCTTTTCAAAAGTGCTTTAATGGGATTTAACATCAGTTGGGCAGTCTACCTCTGGGACTCGTTAAAAAAATCAACCCAAAAAACAAGAAGCAGGGTGAATCTCCATGTGATCAAAATCCAGATAACCGGCTGACAAAACAGCATCAACGATCTTTCAGCATCCCACAATGCAATGTTCGTTTCATCGTCCTCTCCTCACGCGGTGCTGGAAGTCGAGGTGGTGGCACCAATGAAGGTCATCGACTGCCGCTGTTGTGAGTGCAGCCAATCAAGCGGCACTATCTGTAAAAGAGAATTGATGAACAATGAGTTAGAACTTTCTGGAAAGACAATATGGCGTTAGTTAACCTTTTCCCTGAAAGGCCTGCTTATTGTAATACAACAAACAAGCCCAAGAGGCCAGCAGGGAAGAGAAGGGGTTCAACCACTGGGGATGTCAATAAGTCATGAAGCAGGGGTGGAAGAGCAACAGTCAATAAACTGGTTCTTAAGGGGGGGGGGGGAGCTGAAAAATGAAACCAAGCAAAACTGAGGAACTACAGGGGGCCAGGTGTGCAAAGAACTCTAACAACATCACAGAGGTGTTAACTGGCTATGAAAAAAAATAACATGAACTTTTCCAACCTAATGGAAACGTGCACATGGGAAGTCAAAATTTAGAGATCATATTATATAAAATACATATTTGTCAAATACGTCTTGTATCAAGATTATTTTTGTACATAGTCGTGCAAATATCCGGATAATTCTAGAAATCCAGGTTTCCGGATTTATCCGTAAAATCAGTATCTTTGAAATCAAGAAATGTTGCAGGATGCTGATTCTAGATGGGTTATCACCTCAGTGAGTGAATCGTCCAAGACGCTAGCTCAAAAACAGGGAGTTGTACTTTAAGTGACAAATATACATGCACAAAAAATTCACATCTCTGTGGCTAACGTCTCAATATTAGTCTTGCCATTTACACGGATAACGGATGACGTCATTTTCAGCTTGAGTATTGAGAAGCACAATAACGTCACAATCGTCATTTAGTGCCTGTGAAATAACAAGACAGACAGAGACAGGGAAAAATACAGGGAAAGGAATGGGAAAGAAGGACCTACCAATAATGCCCTCTAATCATCTGCTACTTTGATTTCAATCTTTTTCACAAAAATAGAACTTGTACTGTCATATTATCCTTACAATAGCATTGTTAGCAGTTAATCCTAGAGCCATCTATAAGAGGGCATTATAGATGTGATCGTTATATTACTATTGTTAATATCATATTATTATTATCATTATACCTTTTATTTTTATGATCTTAAAAGAAACTTAAAAATTCAACATAACATACAAACATAAACAGTCAATCAAAGAAAACACAAACAAAGATTATTTCTGTGCAGTTTTGAAGAAAAAAAAGAAATAATTTTGAGAACTGGTTTAAACTCAAAGGCTATTTTTAAAAAGTTAGCAGAAAATGTTTAATATGTCAACTTTAAAATTGTATGAAAAACAATTGGATTTACGCACTGTGACTGCACAAGCAAACAAATTTCAAAGTGAGTCAAAAAAGAAATTACTCGAAATGTCACTTTTCTTTAGTTTAAGTAGAAAAAAGCACAGGTGACAGAGTGTGTTTGTGTGGGAGGAGTGTTAATCATTAAAAAAAATTTAAAAAGAAGAAATAAAAACTCCTGTACTGCAGTGATGGCTTCATCAAAGACTTGTTGGAAATTTTGAGAGCAAAAGGGGAAAAAAATCTAAAGTTTAAAAGAACCCAAAACAAATTATGTGCAATAATAGAAAGTTCTTAACTGAAAAGTTGTGTTAGACTTAACAGCCATAACATTAGGGAATTCCACAAAGTAGGAATATCATCAAGAAAGATATCAGGCATATAAAACAATTCAGAGCAACCAAGACATTTGAACATTATACTTTAAATTATTTTCAGGGACAGAAGGGGTGGGGGAAGATGCGCGAGAGATAGAGATAGATAGATAGAGAGAGAGAGAGAGAGA